TGCGCGGAGGGCGGCCCCGACGAGCGCAGCCTGTACATCATGCGCGTGGTGCAGATCGCCGTCATGTGCGTGCTCTCGCTCACCGTGGTCTTCGGCATCTTCTTCCTCGGCTGCAACCTCCTCATCAAGTCCGAGGGCATGATCAACTTCCTGGTGAAAGACCGGAGACCGTCTAAGGAGGTGGAGGCGGTGGTCGTGGGGGCCCGGCCGCGCCCCCTCACCATCCGAGACCGGGCGAAGCAAACCTGTCGGAGTCAATTATTTCTCCCGACTCCTGCCTTTCGGGATGAAGCGACCTGTTTCTCGCTCGCTCTTGGAAAGTCCCCAGGCCTGGCTGGAGGAGGAGAGCGCCCTGACTCTGGACTGAGCAGCAAGTGGCAAGAAGAGGGAGATTAGGGCGCAAACTTTGGAAGCTGCTTGGGATGCGGGAAAACCGACGGGGCAAAGGCCCTTCTCCACCCGCAGGTGGGCCAAGCTCTGGGGGCAGGTGGAGAGGGCGGGCAGGGGAGAGACCCACCAGCACCGGATGCCCCATGGCCTGGAAAGCGATCCGTGCAGACGCCACGGAACAAAACTAATGGGGGCTCAAATCCGTGTCCGGATTGGCGCCCGTTCTCTCCCGGTCCTCCCAGCCCTGGCGGGAGAGGCGATGAATACCTTGGCTTGATTGCAACGTGCCGTTTTAAGGGGTTTTTGTGTTTGCTTGACCATAAATATTTGATAACTCTTTTTCTGCCCTAGTGACCTGTTTGCCTGCCTGGGAGTTAGGGTTTTGTCATCGTGGGGAAAAGGGTGGGGGAGGGGAAGCCTGCGAATGTGAACGGGGTGAGTTGTTTCTTTTATTTCATTCACAACTGGGTCTTTGGAGAGGGGGGCTGGCGCCACAGCTGGCCCCCGGCAAAGACCCGAAGTAGAACTGTGTCTGTAGCTCGTGACTGCACGATTTATGCCACAAAAGTGCTCTTGACATTCGTGACACCGTTTTGACTCTTTTTTCCCCCCGTGTTTAACATTTTCCTTAATAAATGCAATATTTAAGTGTTTTTTTTCTGGCCTCTTGGTGGTCATTGTGCGCTCCCTGCAGAAGGGAACGGGGCAAGGAGTCTGGTTGCCGGTCCAGAGAATTCGCTTTGGAGAGCTGTGATTCCACTCGTGGTTCCCACCGAGGGAGGAGGTGGGGACCAGACAGAGAGGCCTGAGCCCAGTGAGCCGTGGCCAAACCTCAGGTCCAGGAGGAGCACCCTCTGTTTTCTCGGACAGTTAATATTTTATATTTCATTTAGACTCAGCTCTTCAGCCAGGCGAGAGGACAGGAGGGCCCAGTGGGAACATTACCCTTCCCTGCAGGCTCAGGCAGCGGGTACACAGGGTTACTCTGCTAATGAAAGGAAGAGAGGGCTTGGCCAGCCTTCAGGGAGGGCGTCTTTCCCCTGAGCAACCAGTATCATCAAGAAGGCATCAGGATGCTGCTCAAAAAAAAAAAAAATTTAATAAATTATTTAAATGCGAGGAACAGTAGCTGCTAAAAAGTACATAGTGACGTTAATTCTCCCAGGGGTAAGCCGTTGTTACAAAAACATGGGATGCATTGTCTTTGCCAAATTAAACATTTTCTAGAGAAAGGGTGAGATTTAAAAAGAGACCCCGCCTGCTCTTGAATTTAGTCATCAGGCCCAGCCAGGCAGAACAGTCCAAGGGGGGTTAGCCAGGTCCTGAATGTCAGAGCTGAGGGTCACAACCCAAGCTGAGAAAGTGGGGCCGGAGTGGAGCTACAGATGGTCTTGGGCACAGTTAGGGCTCAGAAATGGAACAGTTTTGGAGAATAGAGAAAACCGTGAATGTGAAAATCACCCAGAGGAGGCAATAGCTTCAAGCTTGAAGTTGGCAAGAGGTTTTGAGCAGTTTATTTTTATGCCCGGGTTAGGATCCTCTGCTATGCTATAGCAATTAAAACTTCACAGTAGCGGATAGAAGACTAAAAATTTCAATAACAATCCAGTGCCCCTTTTACTTGGGAAGAAGCACAACTGGTGTAAACAGTGTCAGTGACTCAAAGGGTTGGGATTGAGAGGTTTGAATGTCCTTTAACATCCTGCCCACTATTCAGTGTCTATTTCACTCTCAAAGTAAATCTTGCCAGGGATTATGACCTAGAATAATTTTTTGAATGCTAAATAGCATGGGGCTTGAAAAGGATTTTGATGTTTTGTCTATTGTCTTCAGCAGTAAGGGTTGGCTTGCTCTTTGTGTTTGCTTGTTTGTTTGTTTTGAATCTGGGGAGAGGAGCAGGGTCAACCTGTAGTCAAGGGCGAGTCATGGAGGGCAGTATACTTTTGCAGATGTTTAGGACAGGAAATGGAGGCTTTTTATTTTGTGGATGGTCTCTGTGGCACCCAGTTAACCTGCTGCCTCCATGTTTCAAAGGGAGAAACACAGCAGAACAAACAGTTCACTCTGGGACTAACTTGGCATTTAAATTAAACTCAGTGTTCCTGTGGCTGCAAAATCTGCTGAGGGCCCCTTTCCCCCACAAATTTATTAGCCCCCCCAGCGAATTCAGTGTTGTGTGGAAATCCATTTTGGGATAAAAAGCCAATCATCTAGGAATCTTGCGTTGGGCTCTGCTATGTGGGACGTACATGTGTATAGCAAGTTTCAGACACAAGAAAGGTTTCACACCTACAGGTCAGTTATTACTTGTTTCTAGAACACAGAGATTTCTATTTAAAGCCGAAGTCTTAAAAGTTGAGAGAGAGAGAGAGAGAGAGAGAGAGAGCCTGCCCAAGTTCCCTATACTCTCTTCTCTACTGCTACTCTCTCTGCTTCTGTCACTACCATCTCCTCCATCCTTGTTCCTCTAAATACTTCTTCACCCCGCTTTCCTCTCTGCTGCACCTCAAAAGCAAAATTCAGTTTCTTTTTACTTCAACAAAGCCTCTTAATTCTCCTACTCCGAGAAAGTGTGGTTGTCAGACAAACCAGAACCTGCAACATTTAGTCCTCAGGTAGCAAAGATGCGTGAACTGAGCTCTGTGATCCATGGTCTATGCATTATAGGGAAATGCACAGAGGCTGAAAATATCATAGCTCTGGGGACCATTTCCTGCCAACAACTCTTCTCTACAGCTTCTCGATCCATTTGCTACTTAGAGAGATGCCAAGCGGCTCTGGTTTTTATAGATGAGGCAATGTGTACAAGAAGCTTTTTACACTCCCTATTCCCTGTGGCCACACAGCAACCACTTTCCGAGGCCCCACACCACTCCCTGTCTCTCTCTGCTTTGGGCTCTCTTTTTCCCTGATCCTAACAAATGCATTAAATGAAACGTTTAAATCCTGTTCGGAGTTTATGGAGTGTCAGTCCTTTCCCACAGATGTGCTGCAAGGAAGGTGAGTTTTAAAAGTCACTCTCTGGGTTTCACATAAGAAAAACAACGTCGGCTTTAAGAAACTGGGAACTGAGAAGAATTAGATGCAAACAGGCAGATTTTTATCATCCCTCACTTAAGTCCACCATTGGGTCAGTGATTAGGGGGAAGCCCCGACAGAGAGAGAGAGAGATGGCTTCCTGTAAAAGCTTGCTGTATATGACATGGCCCATCGGGAGGTCTCTGATACTCCCTGAAACTGTCTGGAAATGGATCGGAAGCAGGGAGAGGTTTTCAAGGGACACAGCAAGTGGATTGGTGGGGTTGTAGCCCTCACAGGCTGTGCAGACAGCCACTGATGCCTCGGAGCCTAATTGGATGGCCTCCATATAAGTAGCTCAGCTAATAGCTGGTAAGTGGTATTTTTCTCAAGAATGGTGTTATGAATCCTCCCACTCTCTAAAAAATGTATCAAGAATTTGAGCACCGGACACAGTGAAGACTGCTTGAGGGAAGTCTAAGCACAAAGGTCACACACGGTGTTAAGTCCAAGATCACACTGGCCCCAGGTGGATGGTCCCTGCGCCTGGTTTCTGATTTCCAAGCCACCCTGGTCTCTCATTGGATCCTGGGTCAGCCCTGTTACCGAGTGTCCCTGCACTAATTCTGAGTGAGGGAGGGAAAGGCACACTGACCATAGTGTAAGAACGACTGGTTCTGGTATCTAAGTACCCGAGTAGCCTCCTCCCTAAAATGAGGAAGATGGATTATAAAACATTCCAATTCTGAGATTCTACTGAATTAGTCTGTTTCAGATTTCCTTGTGTCTTAACATGTTTTTTAGATCTCTTCAATAGGTAAGTTAAAAACATATTTTACCAAGGTTCCAATCTTGGTCTTCCAGGTAGAAAATCCCGCCCCCCAAAAGTCAAATGCTCCTGGACGCAGGATATGTACGCTGTTTACAATAATCTAAGCAGTATTTCAGACACCTAGCCAGCCCTCGGTAAACAGAAGTTTCTCAGCTGACAGATCACACATCACCTAAGGCAGACGGTGCCTTAACTATTCCAGATCTCTGTGTTCTCACTGGAGGAAGCAATGGAAAGCGGAGCCCAGCGCACTCGGGAGCAAGTAATCAGCAAGTGGTTCCCATAGGTGTACACACATTCAGACTAATATACACTGTTGTTTATTAAACTTCGTGTGTATTTCAAAACTAAGTAACAGCCATTTTTTCTCCCCTAAAGCATGTCCCCCTTTGAGCTTCTGCAACAGCTCACAGCAGCTGGTCCCATGGTTTAGAGCAGGGGTCCTCAAACTTTTTAAACAGGGGGCCAGTTCACTGTCCCCCAGACCGTTGGAGGGCCGGACTATAGTTTAAAAAAAAAACTATGAACAAATTCCTATGCACACTGCACATATCTTATTTTGAAGTAAAAAAACAAAACGGGAACAAATACAATATTTGTATTTGCATGTGGCCCATAGGCCGTAGTTTGAGGACCCCTGGTTTAGAGCCTTCCTTAGCACTGGCTTATTATACTTGTCACTTTGGGGGGGAGGGGCTGCAATGCCAGGAAAGGATTTCAGGGTTCAGTTTGTTCTCTAAGACTCAAACCCAATTTGAAAGCCTGTTGAAGCAGCAAGTCTACAGCAATCCCCCAAACAGGAATCAACAAATCTTTATCTACCTGCCAAGTCCCACTTAGATATGTGCACAGTAGCTCAGATGGGATATGTTACAGTCAGCTCCACCAGTGGCAACTGTTTCCTAATGTCTGAATTGACATGCTCAATGGTTAATTGCTTCCATGGCCAACCTCACTCTGTCCTCCTTTCCAGATACTACATTTGTATTGTTTTAAACACTTAACATGTTTGAAAGTCCAGGATTATATTTATAGCATCAACTGAGATTTTAAAATTCGTGGAAAGTATAGTTTAGGGGAAAAATAAAGTAGATGATATTATCAGCAAGTCATAAATCATTTACAGTGATAACAAAATAGTCTGAATGTATTATTTATATTTGAGAAATTCAAAATATTTCAGAGGGAGCCTCTACAGGGACTACTATAAGGAAAACTAGATGCATTTCAAAATAATCCTTAGCAAGCTTGTAAACAGTGGCGTGCTTTTAACCCAAATAACAATACAGTATATACTAAGTGAGAATACAGAAAGCAAATTTTATTTACTTGATTATTCATGTATGTTTTGAAGGGATAATAGGTACATGGCATCCTTTTCTAAATATATGTAGCTGGGTGCTTGCTGAAATATTGTTGAGTGTGTAAATGTAGGCAGAGTGATCAATACATAAAAGTCAACCCATCTGAGATAATGTTGCAACAAAACTCTGCCCTGCCCCCATTTTAAACTGGTTTCCATTAGATAGCAATATTTTTTAAACTCATAATTCAAACAGATAGTGCTTGTTAAGCACCCATGTATACATGGTACATTATAATACATTATAATGCATGAATTTGTGCACCAGTGGGGTCCCTCGGCCTGGCCTGCGGGGTCAGGCTGAAACCAGCTCTCTGACATCCCCCAAGGGGTCCCAGATTGCGAGAGGGTGCAGGCCAGGTCAAGGGACCATACTGGTGCATGATGAGGGCCGGGGAGAGATGTGGTCGGTTGGCCAAC